CTGTCTATTGGCTATCAAAGGCGGCAGCAAACGGGGACGAACTCGCGGCCTATAATCTCGCCGTGGCCTACATCAAGGGTGAGATCCAGGGGGCTAAGACGGAGACAATTCGCGCCCTGCTTACACAGGCGGCAAAAGGTGGAATTCAGGAGGCTGTCGGATTACTTCACACCTGTGGCAATGGGCAGTGTCTTAAAGCCCAGAAGAACGGACCCCTGTAGCCCCTTGTCAATTGATGGGTCGGTAAACTTTCCCTGCTTTACAAGAAGTCCAACTCCTCCCCGTATTTTACCCTTCCTTTCACATAACCGTCTAAGGATTTACCTATTCCAGCATTTGTCTTTTTAAGATTTGTTGCCTAAATTTCCTTCATTGTGTCTCGGAGGTGACCTTCGGACTGATTTCGTTTAATTTTACAATTTATGAATCATGAGATAAAGAGCTGGGGGTACTGGTCAGAGGCATATTGTTGAAAATAGGGAAAAAACGACATTAACATTTATAGCACGCCCGAAGATGAAACGTAATTGATGCATGAAATAATGGGGCAATTAAAACGATGTGCTTCAGGCAGCTCGTGATAACACTTTAATGTAGAGATGTGAATGCTCCAGTCCATGATCATGGTCTCTGTCCTCGTCCAACAGACGTACGTGCAAACTGTTTGCCTTATCCCCACCAATGAGGACGCACCCCGTGAGGAAACTGATTCGGACTTGCTGATTGGTTCCCAAGCCCTACTAACTTTCCCCCATCCATGAGCCGCACCACTTGATCCCAGTTAAGCAACTGATTACTGGCAGCCGCTCTAACTTAGGGTCAAAACTGTATTCCCCTGAAGCCGATTATGGAATTGCATTGCACTCTAATCTGTTTGCTGATGGAGTTATCTAGGTTTAATAAATGAGGACATCCTTGGCTTGGAGCCGACAATTCCTCAGAGGACAAAAATGTGTTGAAAAGCCACCGGCTTTGCTAATTTCCTTATTGGAGTTCCATTAACTCTGAGAAGATTAACGCGGAATATGCAATTTAGGAAGAAGTAGAGTACAGTGGTCTATTCTAGGAAAAAACTCTAGAAAGGATTAGAGCAGCATAGCTGAGAAAGCAGTGAACAACTCTGGTCGAATGCTTACTTAGGGGATAGAGTCAGGAAAGGCGATGACCACCGTTGGGCCCTTAGAACTCGTAGGTGTAACGTACACACATAATTTATACAAAGCGCAAAAATGAGTAGTTTTCCTGGCGCAATGAGTCACAAAACGGGTCTCCGTTTAAATAATCAAGAAGCGTTTGTTTGACTAGTTAGATTAAGTACCTAGTGAAGGCGGGGTATTCATAATAATATCTTACCTGCTTTGATAGGTATTGCCTAAGCACACACCTCCAGCTCCCCATAGGAAATGGAACACGGGAATCGGTTATAATAAGGGCGGATTTGAGTTGAATCGCAGGAAAATTCATGTTAGGGTTGGACGTAAGCATTCGCGAGTAAGGTTACAGTTACTTTTCAGTCTTGGGTCAGATGTGGTGAAATCATACATGGGCGTGGCAATTGTGAACATCTTGCCAGCGCTAAATCAAGAGGTGCAACAGGATCAAGATCAAATAATTCACTGAATTTCAAAGTTCTCCTTCAGTTTCTAGGGGGCAATTGGCCTTTTGACTCAAGAGTATGGCAATCGACATTCCATCTTCGGTCGAAGGAAGTTGCTCGTTAGCATAAAGAACATTTATTTTTCATGAAGTGTGTATACAATTAAACAATGCCATAAAATACGAGGGAGAGTGAAATAGCCAATCGGGATCGTTCGCCGTGACTCGCCAGGCAACACCTATACGCCTCACAGGTCTCATTAAGGACCCAAGTGTAACTAAGTGTAACTTTCCGCGTCCATTGGTTTTCAAGAAAAGTATAGTTTGTGAAAACCACTGCAGTAACGTCCGTAAAAGCTAACAAAAACTTCATATCCTTCCTAAAAAAATACCAGATCGCATATGGAGACTGGAATCCAACCGAAACACGTCAAAACACATCAAAGAGGTCACCTTAAAAGGTTTGACGACTCGAATATAAGATAGTCCATGAGTCAAAACATTCAGCCTTGGAGCTTCGCCTTTTTATGTTAATCTAATCGGCCAGCACTAGAACAACACTACCCCCGATTACCAGGCAGTATACGATTTATGTTGTGCATTTAGGAATAATTAACTAAGTAAGAGCGGAGGTCAGGCAAAAAAGTGAATGAGGTAATGAATAAGCGATGCCAGCCTGCCAGTTAGGTAATCATTACGGTCGCCCCATCAATAGTTCGAACGAATCGTTAGTTATGACATTGCGATTGGAAATGATCCGGAAACACGGTTGAAGTACCCTAGAAGCGTCGTACATACTACTAGCCTTTGTTCGGCGAGAATAACTGGAAGTACAAACTAGACAAAAAACGAAAGTGGGTAAAATTTTATGGAAAAACCTAACTCCGCCTCCCCTCTCGACTTCTGACTAGTACCGATCAAACTTAATTATCAATTTGTTCGCCTTCTGAAAATCTCAATTACGCAGCCTGACTTATACAGCAACAGACTGTGTAAGAGCCTCCTTTGCGTAGGGGCGAGCCTCAGCAGTGGAGTTACAGAGGCCACAGCAATAACAAGAAAACAAGAATCTGACAAGTACTCATGTCACGTGATTTGCCCCGTGGCGCGTGGGTTTCGACTTGCGGCCCTCTCGGCTAACCAACTTGCCCTACTGTCCCTCTCATCGTCCCATCTGAACCTTTCGTTCTCTATATTCACAATCGCCAACCAATACGCAAACTGATTAGGCTTTTATGATGCTATCACAAATGACGGTTATCTGCTGTCGCATTTGGATTAGAAATAAAACGCTTTAAGAAGTCAAACTATTCACCTTTATTTGCCACTCAACTTCTTGGTAAGGACTAGAAAAAAAAACATCCGTAATGCACGTGTCTGAGCCTCATGCCAGCGAAAAGGAGGGAAGATCTTAGGGTTAAGTAAAAGTTTGAAGTTTTGTTTAGGATCAGTGTGAAGGTTAACGTTAACGTGAGTCGGGGTTAAAATAAGGGTTAGTTTTACTGTATGGTTAGTATTTACGGTGTATCGCTTAAGATTAGGACTACAGATTAGTTTTAGGTTAGCGCAAATGTCCGAAATAGGACACAGGAAGTTTGGTCTTGCTGGAATGATGCAAAGACCACCTCTATGGTTTAGGAGACCATACAGAGTATCCTTATCAGGTGGTTTCTAAAAATGTGCGCCTAAGCAAGCCAAACCAGCAGCCAGAAGACAATACTTGTCAAAATGTACAGAAGTTCGTTGTTCTGATGAACTAATATAAATGCTAATTGTCGTTGCGAAGTGTTCGGTAACAGTACAAGAATGTGAAAATAAAGATTAGATCGCTAGGACAACACTTTTATTTGCCTGACTTTGCGACCTCCGTCGCGAATTCTTCACC